GACGGCGGCTCGGGTGGGACAGTCGCCTGGGATGGGGAGCGTGAGGATGCAGCGGGGGTTCGGGGGTCAGGGCTGCTCTCCTGGACGCTGAGCAGAGCCCTGCGGCTCTCGGGCGTTTTTGAGCGGGGAGCTGCCCAGCAGCCCCGGGTCAGGGAAGAGGAAGCGCTGGAGGTTTAGGATTTGATTCCAAACATCCGGGACCCAGAGGAGCCCAGGACTGTGGATGAACCGGAAGTGGTAGCGGAAAGGTGCGTGGAGGTTTAGGAAGTAAATGAAGAGGACTATTTGGCTATTATTAGGTTCACGTCAACAGTACCTCATTGCTTTTTGGCAGCTCCTACTGGGCCGTGCTGAAGAGTCAGACTTAAGCGTTGTTTACCGTTTAAGCATAAGGTCCCTTTAAGGCGACGGCACCTTCTCTGGCGCCTTCTCCAGGTCAGACTACTGGCGGCACTGGAAGCATGGCGGACCCTGGAAGCATGGCGGACACGGACCTGTTTATGGAATGTGAGGAGGGGGAGCTGGAGCCATGGCAGAAAATCCATGATGTCATTGAGGATTCTGTAGTTGAAGATTGTAATTCAGTGGATACAACGACCACAGTGTCTGTGAGCCAGCAGCCAGTCTCAGCGCCAGTGACGTTCGCTCTCTATGCCTCCTTTGTTGGGTACCTCTCTATAGCCACCACCGTGGGTAGCAGCGGGGCACCGAGCAGCGACAGTTCGAAGAGGCCTCTCCTCAGTCTACCTGCCGATGACAATGCCGAGAGGAAGCGGTGTCAGCAGCCGATGTATAAACGGCGGCTACTGGTACGGGGTACCTCGGCCGCGGTAAGAAGCCGGCGGTATCGACAGAACATGTCTGAAGCACGACGATTGGCAGAACGGGAAAGAAGACGGCAGCGTCTACAGAATATGTCAGAAGAACAACGAGTGGCACAACGTGCAGCGGCCGCCGAAAGAAGCCGGCGGTATCGACAGAATATGTCTGAAGCACAGCGATTGGCAGAACGGGAAAGAATCCGGTGTCGCCGACAGCAGGCGTATGAAGAACGATTGGCACGTGAAGAACGATTGGCACAGCGTGCCGCTGAGGCTGACAGCAGCCGGTCAGCGCCGGGCACCACCGGGACTGGCAGGAACAGCCTCCATAGCGGAAACTAGGTAAACGAGGATGCAGTTATGGAACACGGTTGTGGTGGAATGTAGCACATGTGGTGTCACATGTCCATTTTGCCTGTCCCGAAATTTCTCCCAGGAAATGGAGTTATTTGTTGCTTTCTCTCGAGTTCGAAGAGCGTGTGACGTTCAAGTTGTAAATACTTCGTCACCAGGAAAATTAGTCAAGCACTCTGAACTGTTTTTACTCTTAATGTGGTGTACACGGAGATATTAGAATAAGGTTAATCAGCTTATCAGTCATTGTTTTTATCAGTTGTTTTTTACATCATCTTTTTGTTGTTTTCATTTGTCTGTTGTTGTGTCATGTTATTGTTTGTTAATGAATTTATATATTCTTTTCATGCACATTTTACCAATTTTCTTTCATCTCTGACACTTCTATTGTAGAGAAAGGGTGAATAGCAATATTAAAATATTTCTTCTAATTAATTTCCTTCCAATGTGCACTGAGCCACTAGTATTGAGATATTTATAGGTGAAATGATATGATCTAGAACTCGTTTCAGAATAATATGGGCACCAGTAAGTGGGTAGAAGGTATAGATGAAACATGATTGGCTAATTATTGAAACTCAGTGATGGTACGTGGGATTCATTATAGTGTTCTATTTTTTACATATATTTTAACTTTCCTGTAATCAAACATTTAAATTTAAAATATATATAGTCAGTAAGTTGCCAGTATAGTTATCATAGGTAAAACTTGTTGGAATTTTTTATCTGTCAACCTCTGTAATCACTACTCTGCTGGCCTAGTAACTGTCAGGGTCTAGTCCACTATTGGGCTCTCAGATTCTCGGAGACTGTGAGACAAACCACTGGTGGCCCATTAACAGCCGCCTACATACCCCCTCTTCTGGTTTTGCTTTGTAGCTAACTGCAGTGACTCCATTCGCCAAGTTGAACATACAGTTCAGAGGAGTCCATCTTATTCTGGTGACTTGAGGTCAAAAAGTTGAGGCACTATGTGCTTTTATCTTTGATTTAGGTATATTGGCTCCCCCAAATTTTCTGTCATTTTTTAGAATATTTGTAAGTTAGAAAATATAGTATTGAGAATTTTTTTAGCCAAATGTAGTATATGGAGGACTTAAAAACATTTACAAAATTGCTTTTCTCACAAATGAAAAAGAATGTAAAATATTACAATAACAATTAGCCCAGTTTATTAGTATGTGTTTATTAATATTTATTCATGAATGAGTCATTACCTTATTAAGTCATCATTTTTACTTAATGCTGTTGACCAGGTCTTTCCTTTATCAGTCTTGATGACATAAAGAGAAAGAAGGCAACCTATCAATCTCTGTGTTTCCATACCTAAGACCATGTTTGTTTAGAGAGTCTTCTGCATTTCTAAGATTTGACGCACTAGGAAGAGATGCCATTCTTTTATATATATATATGTATTTGTTGATTTCAGAGAGGTGGGGAGAGAGAGAGGGGGAGGGAAGGAGAGAGGCATTGATGATGGGAGAGAGTCATTCATTGTTTGTCTGCCTCCTGTGTGCCCCACATTGGGGGTTGGACCCCCAACCTGGGAATGTGCCCTGATTGGGGAAGTGAACCATGACCTCTTGGTTCATAGATCAATGCTCAACCCCTGAGCCACACCAGCCGGGTGAAATGCCATTCCTTAAAGTCTCTGTACTTGCTGAGTTAATGCTTATTGATGAATATTCCTCTTATAAAAAAAATTAGGTGATAGGGACGGGCTAGAAGGGGTCAATGGAGGGAAAGGGGGGAATATATGTAATACTTTAAACAATGAAGTGTTTTTTTTTAAATAAGGTGGGTTAGCAGCAAATTACATTCTGACAAAATAGGTGTTACCTAGTTAAAATATGGTGTTCTTGTTTTTTGTTTTAAGAAAAACATGTTATTTTATTTGTAAGAAAAATAAACTTATATGTTATTTTGTTTTGTTGGAAAAAATAAAGAAACCTCTCAAGATTAAAAAAAAACCACAACCCAGGGTACCCAGTGAAAATGGCATCTTATCTAATAAAGAGGGAATATGCAAATTGACCACCACACTGTAACATTCAAGATGGCTGCGCCCACAGCGGAGGCAGAGTTCCCGGTTGCCTATGGAGTATCCTTTTACTGGGCATCACCTGCCTGTTGTGTAGAGTGGGAGGGGTTAGAAATCACAGGCCCTTTCCCCTGGAGGACTTCTTGACAGGGAACCTCAAGGCGCACCCCCCGCCTTGGCACTGTGCCGGAGGACCTGAGGCCGCATCCCCCGCTCCAGTGTCGGGCCGGGGGACCTCAGGCCACACCTCCTGCCCCGGTGTCGGGCCAGGTGACCTGAGGCCACGTCCCTGGTCCAACGGAGCTTGACAGGGAACCTCAGGCTGCACCCCCCACCCGGTGGGGCTTGAAGAGGGTGGGGCTGGCTGGGTCTGGATCTAGCCCAATGTGGGTGGGGCCGGCCTGGTCTGGGTCTCGCGCAATTTCGAGGTGCACGCGGGTGGGCGGGGACTTGACTCTGGGTCCCGCAGGGTTCCCCAGACTCTGGCAAGAGGAAGATTTTCATATACATTTTACTAATTTTCTTTCATCT